AGGATGGGTTTTCATCCCAGATGCTCTGGGATGGATTTCCCATTCCCCAGTGCTCTGGGGTGGCTTTGGGGTGATGCCTGAACTCAAACACTTGTCCGTCCCTCTGCCAGCATATGGCTCTCTTGGGGCCGTGTGTGCTTCACAGCAATGCCATGTGAGCATGGCTTGTGCTGGATCCCTCACTAGGAAAGTTCACAGCTTGCCAGCAGCACCACGGGGTCATCCCTCATGTTCCAAACCTGAGGAGCCTGAAGGGTGTTCCTGCTGCAAGTGTGGACAGTCGGGGTTGCTGCCCCTCCACTTTGCTTTCTGTCTTAGGGTGATGTTCTGGGGGCTCCTCCGCTCCCCACCTGCCCACCCAGGGTTGGGAAGCCCAGGAGCAAACCCTCAGTGGCTCTCCCTCCCCTCCAAAGGGGAACTGTGCAATTAAAAAGAGAACAAGCATGCCTGTCTAGCTGGAAAAACTAACGCCTTCCCCAAGCTGGAATATTTTACTGGCTCTGCTCTCCCAGAAGGATTAAACCTCAGCCACCCCCTCCTGTATTAATTGGTTCCTTTTCTTCACACCACAGAGAAGCTTGGCTCCGTAACAGGAATGGCTGTCCGTGTTCTCCCCTCCGGAGCTATTGAGCTTCCTGGGAGGTTTGAGCAAATTGTATTGTCTGCCTTTATTGATGATTTTGCAGAGGCCGACGAATGCCATAAATCTGCCCTGCTGCTGGGATTAGTGCTGAAATAACATGGGAGGAAACAGCCCACTCTTCCTGGAAAAGCTAAAAGCAGGTTGGAGTTCCTGTTGCAGGATGCCCCATGCTGGCCTCAGCACAGCCCCGTGGCCAGCCAGCTCTGCTCAAGGCACTGCCATCGGGGATGCCTGGGACTACAGGGCTTTTCCCAGTGAGGATGTTGGCTGGAGCAAGGAGATGTCCCCTCTCCTGGTCATCTCTCCGGGGCTGCTGCTGAGCTGCGGTGCCGCGGGAAGCAGGTGCTCGCAGCCAGAGGGGTGGCACAGAGCAGCAGCTGATGTCCTTGCCTCCTTTGGCACTCATGCTGCTGCCCACCGAGCCAGTGCCAGGGGAGCTGAGGCCAAGGTTCCTTCTAGGCTGGGGAAAGGCAGGGTGGCTGCACTGCCACACCAGGAGCTCTGGCCCCACACTCCACTGGACACAGCCTCCTCCTCTGACAGTCGTGGGCTCTGTCACTGCTGCTGTGTCAGCCATGCAGCCCCGGGCCAGTGTCACCCCCCGGCAGGCGCTGCTGAGGGACACTGCTCCTGACTTGGAGCCGTAGCTGAGATTTCATCCTTGGGGTGTGAGCTGGGGCTGTGGGGGCCCACAGCAGGGTTGTGCACAGCCTTTGGCTGCTGAGGAAGGGAGGCACAAGCATCCCTCCCCCTCTGCCAGCTGTGAGGCTGGATTGGTGTGAGCTTGACTTCCACTCGTGGGCAAGCCCCATGCTGCTGTCAGCCGAGCTCTGCATCCCTGCCGTGGAGCTGTGAGGTGGGCAGGGGAGCCACATCCTGAGCAGGCCAGGGCCTCCTCTCCTCGTTTGCTGACCTACACCTTGTCCCCAGATCAGCCTGAACAAGGGGGACGAATACTGGTGGAAAGCCATCCTAGAGGGTGAGGAGCAGATCGACATTGACAAGATCAACAAGGAGCGCTCCATGGCCACAGTGGACGAGGAGGAGCATGCTGTGCTTGATCGCCTCACCTTTGACTACCACCAGAAGCTGCAGGGCAAGCCCCAGAGCCATGAGCTGGTAGGTGATGGCTATCTTGTGCCCATCCTGGCCCTCCCACCTGCCCTTCAAGGGTCCCATCTCCAGAAAAAGGGGCCCCATGGCTCTGCTCCATCTCAGAGCTCTCTTCACGCGTCCCCCCACACTAACATTTCGGGGGGATGAGGTTCTGCTGAGCGATCTTTTGCCGTGCACTCCTGTCTTCCCCTTCCTGGCACCCTGGCAAGTGCCTGTAAGCCCAGACTCCCTGCACCAAGGATGGGCCCCACATCCCTACACCTCTCTCCCAAGCTGGCCCTGCTCAGGGCTGGACCTCATGGGCATGAGCTCAGCCCGACCCAGGAGCTGCCCTGGGTGCTGACTGCCCTGGGTGCTGACTGCCCTGGGTGCTGTCTGCCCTTCCCCAGGCAGCGAGGAGGAGCACAGAGGTGGTGTGTGCCCTTGGCAATGACCACTGCCAGCCAGGGAGGAAGGGCACTGCTGCCCACACCCCTTCCCATGGGTCAGGTGGTCACACAGCCCCAACACCTGTGGGGTGAGGTGCAGGGGAGAGCAAGGGGTGTGGGGAGCAGTGTGGCATCACCCCAGGCTGATGGAAGCCTGCGACCTCTTTGCAGAAGGTGCATGAGATGTTAAAGAAGGGCTGGGACACCGAGGGCTCGCCATTCCGCGGCCAGAAATTCGACCCCTCCATGTTCAACATCTCCCCCGGCGCAGTCCAGTTTTGACAGTGGCAAAAACAACTGAAAAATAAAGCAGGGAGAGGCGACCTCCCCGCCCTGGATGCCCACCAGGATCCTCACACCGAGCACCAGTGCCTGGGACTCACTGATCCACGCTGCCAGCACCCATCCGTGCTGTGTGGGGAAGCCTGAGGAAGTGGGCAGATTTACATCCTGTCATCACAGCAAGCTGGGCACCAGGACCCCTCTGCGCCCCTCCCCTCCCCTCCAGCTTCCGATGCTCCATGTTTTTCTGGAATAGAGGGGGCATGTTGGGTCACATTGGGTGACAGTTTTGGTGGAGGAGGATATTGCTTTCCGGGTTTCTGGGGATGCGGAGACCTTGCTACCCTAGCCCTGGGCAGCTTTGTCCCTCACAGGTGGAGATGGGTGCTGGGTATGGGCAGTGGGGATGGGGAAGCCTGCCCCTGCCTGCCTCTGCCAGCACCCTGCCCACCTGGCACCCTCAAATCCTCTCACCAGTCCCACTCCAGGGTGTCCCGGGAGGCTGTGCTGCCCCTGCCCTCTACCCAGCCCCAGGGGAAGCTTTCTCCTGGCTTACCCCTCCTTCACCTCCTCACCAGAAGGTTGTCGGGACGCAGGAGTGGGCAGAGACCACAGCCATCCCCTAGGGTTTGCTCCCCCTTTGTCAGGGAGCAGCAGGGGTGCTCCCCACAGCACTGGCATCAGGGGGGCTACAGGCTTACCCCTCCTAGCCAGCAGCTGGGCAGGAGCTCTGAGACGGGTTTCCCTGGCATGGTACTTAGGGGTCTGGGAGTGGGTCCAGCCTGGCTCTCACAGCTTCCCACCAGCCCCCCACCCTGGAGTGTGCGGGCTAGGGGCCCCTGGCCATTGCCTTGTCCAGCTCCCCGCTGCCCACCCCCCGTTTGCAATAAACACTTGTCACCGTGGGGCCTCTGAGTGATTCGGTGCCACCCTCGGGGAGATGAGTGTGCCTGATTCTCCACCATCACCTTGCTTTTGGGACAAGGACAGGGACAGCGTGCCTGGGGTGTCTGTCTGCCGGCACGGGCTCCAGACACTGGGTTGGATGTGGTGAATGCGGGATACCTGGGGGAGAGTAGAATTTGGGGTCCTTCAGGGTGTGGATATAGGATTCCTGGGGGAGAGCAGAATTTGGGGTCCTTCAGGGTGTGGATATAGGATTCCTGGGGGAG